AATTATGAGGGCAAAGACTGAGAATATATGACAATTAAAATAAGCTACTGTTCTTTTCTGGTTTCCAGACTTTTCTGAGTTTTAAGTGTGTGTGGCCTCCCACCCCAGTGAGAGGACAGGCCCGGAGTCAGAGCACATTTACTGGCTGGTTGGTGTCCTGACATTTCTTTAAGGAAGCAGTTTATTAAGCTATGAACCGGTCCCTGCTGCTTTGGCTCGAGGGGAGAAGGAGGGGGTAGAAAGGGGAGGGGAAGGAAGAATCTTTGTCTTTATTGTCTCACATTTTGAAGGCCAAAGCATGGCCACATGGACCCCCAGGGTCACACCCTGCCTTTGCCATCAGCGGCACTGAGCACTTCTCCTGGGACATCTCGTTTGAATTCAAGATGCACCTTAATCTAATCCGGCTCTGTGGCTGCAAGTCCCCCTACATCAAGGAGGAAAGAAGGTCAGGGCCTGGTCTTGCTCGCCATCCTCCCTGATGAACAGAGGAATTCCAGGTGGGGTCCGGAGTATTTAGGGACCAGTTGTTTCTCCTCAAAACTTTAGCCTGAAAACTGCCCATCAAAAGTCAATGGGTAGCCCATAATTTAGCATTCACTTCTTTTCTAAAATAGGGTGTGAAGAAGTGAACTGTCGGCAGAAGGTAAAGTTCCAGCCTGGCACGGCATCTGCTCAAGAAAGCCATAACCAGCTGGTTGGCTGATGCCTGCAAAGGACAGAGACAGGATGATTTCATTTGCCAAAGGCAGGGCTCATATTATGATATTCAAAAGTGAAGTCATCTTTATTCCTACCATGGCACCACAAGAAGCTCCTTGTGGGGCAGATAACTTTATTTACCATTGGCATGATGCCACCATCTGAAGACAAACAAATCAAGGACAGCCTCTGTCACCTCTAATCCTCTCTGTTCTAATTCAATTTGTTGATTAAATCACTGTATATGCACAATTTTAGAAGTATCTTTTATTCCCCTTCAGAGAACAAACTAGCAGAGAAAATTAGATGGCTCTATAACCCTAATATAACAAGGACAACACTAAACAAATATTTAATCGCCCTGCTTTCATGTATTCAAATTTTCTTTGGCCCTGCCTCCACCTTTGGACAGGGGTGCTGGGAGGGGGACAAGAACACATGGAAATTTCCTGTAGCAGGTGGAAAACACTGGTGGCTCACTGGTTCTCTAGCCCTGGACAAATCAGGCAGTATCAGCCCCACCATGAAAATGGAACGCCAAAGCACACAGAAATACACGACTGGACCAAAGTCGAACAGTCAGGGGTAAACGTAAGTCCAGAACCCAGATATGATAGCGAGACTCCAGGGGGGCAAGATGCTGTCCCATTAGCGTCTGCACAAGAGAAGGAAGACCAAGTTCTCGAGAAAAATGACTCTGTAAATATTCTGTTAAAAATTATTTAACATTTTTAATGAAACAGCATGTTTATAATATTCCAGATTTTTCTCTAACTATCTGAAATCTTCTAAGATGAGGAGAGAGTGCACTGCCAGGTGATACAGGTACAGAACGTGACAACAAAGCTAACATTTAACTGTTGCTAACCACATACCAGGAAGTACATGAGTTAAGCCACTCTATCCTCACCATAGCCTTAGAGCAGTCATTATTGCTATTTTACAGATGAGGATCCTGAGGTGGCACAGAGAGGCTGAGTAACTTGCCCAAAGTCCCACAGCTAAAAGGTGGCAAATCCAGGATCCCAACACCGGCCATCGCTTCACCACTGTGCTCTGCTGCCTCTCACGGCTTAAGTTGGCTGCCTTGAGGGGCAGCCAAGGTGGCCCCTTTCTGGAGGGTTATTGCTCTTTAGGTAGCAAACAAATCTATCATCAAACATCTCCACTATTCAGAGAATAGGGCTGCCTCAGAAACATGATTTAGTGGCTTCAGGTCATGAGAAAATATTGACCATGACACTCCAATCTGTCCTCAAAAATTCTTCCCCAATTTTTTCTTGCTAGTGAATGAAGTTAAGAACCAACACTAATAAATAAAATGCCAAAAGGTCCTGGCCAACAGAAGTTTCTTCACCATGGAATGGCTGGGAAATGGAGGGAAACCATTGAGCAACGGCCTGTGCCCAGCAGAACCAACAGAGGAACAGAGTGTGTGGGATTTTCTACTTACAAGGCTTGCCTACCCAGAAAAACAAAGCACTATATACCTAGGCTTATCCCAGTCTGTTACTTCTTTCAGATTCTATTTCCCTAACATTTCTGTTTTTAATTTAGCATAATTCTTAAAAGTCATTTTAAGTTCAAAATTTTAAAAAAAGGCCAAGCAGGTATCTTCTGCATAGCATCCCATCTTGCCTCATAAAGACCTTGAACATCCACCAAGCCCAGCAGGCACTTAGGGAAGGTCATTTTTCCCTTAGGCTTCCCATCAATCAACAAATGGCTTCTTGAGCTCTTACTACAGTCAAAACAGATATTTGGTTCATTCAGTCTCTCCCAGTACTAATATCCCAGCTTGCTGGACCTGGGGAGGCCTGAAGTGGTTTCCCATAAAGGAAAACTCACGCTGGAAAATCGCAGCCAGAAATGTGAAAATCATCTATGACCCCTAAGAGGCACCCAAGGCTGAGGCAGCTTCCCCACGCTACCAAGAGCTATGGCTTGCTTGGCCCAATTCTTACAGAGCACTTTCTGTAGGTGAGGGTGTGGGAAATGACACAGTTGTGCACTTGTGTGCGGCGGCCTGGGATAATGATATGAGTGGGCCCTGAACTAGGTGTCGGAAGAGTTCTAGTCCTAGCTTTGGTCCTAACTTCTCTGTGTCCTCCTTGACTGGGCCTCCATTTCATCTTCAAATCTGACATCCTCTGACCACTGTCTCCCCAAAACCACACCCAAAAATCTCTTTTAAATCCTATGAAAAGGGGGCGCCTGGGTGGCTCAGTTGGTTGAGCAGCTGCCTTCAGCTCAGGTCATGATCCTGGAGTCCCGGGATCGAGTCCCGCATCGGGCTCCCTGCTCGGTGGGGAGTCTGCTTCTCCCTCTGACCCACCCCCCGTCTCATGTTCTTTCTCTCTCTCTCATTCTCTCTCTCTCTAATAAATGAATAAAATCTTTAAAAAAAAAAAATCCTATGATAAGCGGCACCTGGGTGGCGCAGTCGGTTAAGCGTCCAACTTCCGATTTCCACTCAGGTCACGACCTCAGAGTTGTGAGATAGAGCTGCACATGGGGCTCTGTGCTTAGCGTGGAGTCTGCTTGAGATTCTCTCTCTCCCTCTCCCTCTGTCCGTCCTGCTCATGTTCTCTCTCTCTCTCTCCAAAATAAATAAATAAATCTTTAAAAAAAAAAAATTCCTATGACTATACAAGTCTCCCTGATGGTCTGGCCAGAGAACCCAACAGTGAATAGGTGATTATATATGAACACAACAGGAAGTACATCCAGATCTGCCAATCCCCACGTCATTAAAGACACGTGTAACAGACACACCTCCTCTCCGCCAGGAGAAGGCAGCCCCGAGATGACAGGGCTGCGACAACTGTTGGGAGAGTAAGGTGCAAAGCAAGGGCCCCTACGTGGCAAAAGGGCTGTGGGGTCAACAAGAACAGCTTTGCTGCACTAAGCCGACTTCTCCACTTCCAAGCACTGGATATCAAGGAGGCACACAGTGAAGACCGTGTGGATTTTAAAAGCAGGCTGCATGATCATTTCTCTAAAGATCATACCATAAACTCTGAATAACCAAAAAATTCCTTTCTCTAACAGCCTTCTGATAGGACATTTTGGCAAGATGGTCAAGTATCTTCCTGAGTTCCCAGACATCATGACCTGTGATTTAGAACCCATGCTGGTGTTGGCCAGGTCCCAAGCTGGTCCCATCATTCTCCCCTACTCCTCTCTGTGGCTCTCACCTGCGCTGCCCGCCCCTTACAGAGCAATTCTGATCCTCGTCACACACACCAACCCACTATGAGAAGACTTGCGAAGAAAAATGACTTCAGTCTATACACTGACAACAGAACAAAGCTAACCATTCTAATCCTTAGGGAAAGAGAGAACCCCCCCCCCCCAAACTGATGGGAAACAAGACTTGGATCATTTTCAAAGTCTCACAGGATTTCTCATCATTTTAAATAATCTCACAGGACATGTCTCTGGGTGTAAAGGGGGGTAAATCTCAGTGTCGGGCCTTGGTGAGAATGCCAGGAAACTCTGCTAGGAGCAGAGATGGTCAGAACCCGTTGTTATTAGTAAAAAAATAAGTGACATTTACCAAGAATCCAATGTTTCTGCATCTGAGCTAAGTCCCTTTATTTACATGATCTTTTATAATCCCCACCAGAACTCCATGGAGTAGAAACTATTCTGCTCTTTTCACAGATGGTAAAATTGAGGCTAAGATGAAGGAACAGTAAAGAGCAGTGATCCTTCTGAAGAGACAAGTTCAGAACAGACAAGCCTCCAACCTCCTCTGCCTGAGGGTGTGAGCTCAGGGCCTCCTGCTCCCTCCGTCTCTGCTCGGGGCCCCCCGCTTGTCAGCTGCTGGTTTCATTACCCACCACAGGCCACCACTGACTGCTGGGAGTAAGCCATCCCAGATGGTCTCAGGGGATGCACACCCGCTCCACAAAGGTCAGCTGGGAGTCCCCAGCAGACCTTTCACATAATGACTGAGGTAAAGTCTCCCAAGCCCCAGATGTACATTCTGTTGGCATCTCATCCATGCAAGTACAAATGCAGCTCACCCCATTGTGCGTAGGAGAACATGAATGACTAACCAGCTTCAGGGCACACTGTCATTTCTGCTCTGAGGATGTGAAAATGCTTCCCAAACACTCTTCACAAGGTGCCGCAATCACCACCATCTCCTTTGCACTGAAGAATAGAAGTAAAGCTTTGTACCCAGAGGCAGATGTGTTGAAGGTTTTCCAGAGGCTGACCACAGTTCTCTACAGTCTGATTTGAAATTTTTAAAAATTATCAACTGGAAGAAACACATGGTCCTCACTTACCCTTTCTATCTCTTGGAGGTACAGGAGCGCAATGTCCCCTGCTTTCTCATAACAGGTGATGACATCCTGTTCCCGGTCCACGTGGAGGTTACTGGTAGAAGAGGAAACAGGCAACTTCTCTAAACAAAGTCCTAAAAAAATCAAACATACAAAACCTGGCTGAGTTGTTTTTCATGGAGCTTAATTTTTCAATATTGAAGACGGTCCCAGGATATCACAAATTGTCAAAAGAAGCAGATTCTCTTGCCCTTTACCCTCCCTCATTAAGGACATTTGACCTTGATATCCAGGTTGAGAATCTGATCAGGTACTTCACCATGACCCCATTCAGACCTCATGGAGCTTCTTTCTTAGTCAACTATGTCCCAAGGTCCTTAAAGTAAGCAAAGCTAGGCTCACCGGAATAATACTAGCTGAAGATATCTTCTATCCCAAAATGTCCACTTAACTAATTCAACATAAAAAAAAAAAAGTTAAATGCTCTTGGGGTCTCAGTTACTAGGAAAATCTTCTAACTTGGAGCCTTAGAGTTTTGGAATCACAATAGCACTACAGACCACGACTCAGTTGTGGGCTAAGAAAATACCAGAACTGCTTTGTGGGCATTTCTTTGGAGATGGAGGAGATCCTCTTTGCCAAGAGAGAATTCAGGGCTGGGCTGTATGAAAGCACAAAGGGCTGAAAGAACAACAGCGCTGGGAGGAGCGGCTGGTGCCTGGCTGCCACCAACCTCTGGGCCTGCCCTGGGCCACTAGCCCGGAGCAAGCCGGGCCCCAGGTCTCTACGCACAACCTGGGGCGGAGAGAGGGCACACTGCGGGGATGGCGTCTGGTGCCCCACACGAGAGGGCCTCTGCTGTGCCAAGTGCCCTGGGACACATGTATACACACAAGACACACATTCCACTCCAGGCAAAAGTGTGGGAGAAGGTTTGATATTGACAGAAATGGGGTCTGGAACTGGAAGAAGCCAGAGAAATTCCCCCAGAAAACCCACTCATTGTACAAAGAAGCTGAGATGGGCCATGGTAAAGTAAGTGATTTGCCCCAAACCTGGCAGCCAGTCAACGACACAACAGGACTCAGAACTCAGGTGTCCAGCCTGCCAAACACCCATCCACTTAGTTGCTGACTTCCAGAGCAAACGCCACTCGGGACAGGGCCCCAGACACACTAAGCATCAGCAAATGACCCAGAGTTTCATGTGTCATCATTTCCAGAATGGCTTCTTCCAAGCTGCTCTCATCAAACAGCGATTATCCCTCCAGGCTGTAAAAAGCCATGAGAAATGGTTCTACAGAATGGGAAGGAAGAGAAACCACTTCTATTCGCAAGGAGCCAACAATTGCAGACCGTGTGCCTGGGAGCTCAGAGGTTACCGGTCTGTCACAGAAGGTATGGCTCAGAGATTTTATTATTTTTTTAACAGCTGTTATGGAGGTAAAATTGGCATATAACAAAGCAAAACATTTTTGCAGTGTTGCATCATGATGATTTTTTTGTATTTATTTAATCTTATTTTTTATTAACTACAGTCCATAGTTAAACCACATTAGGGTTCATGGTGTTCTGTAGTTCAGGAGTTTTAACAAATTCATAATGTCATGCATCCACCATTACAGCACCAGACAGAGAAATTCACTGCCCTAAAAGTGTCCCATGCCTCACCTATTCATCCCTACCCCGCTCCTCCTGCACCCCTGGCCACCACTCATCTCTTCACTGTCTTTATGGTCTTAACTTGTCCAGAATGCCACACAGTTGCAATCATGCAGTATGCAGCCTTTTTAGACTGGCTTCTTTCACTCCTTTCACTTAGCATTTAAGGTCTCTCCAGTCTTTTTGTGGCCTGATCACTTCTTTTTGTTCCCTACATAATATTCCATTTATTCATTAAGCCATTGAAAGGCAACTTGGTTGATTCCAAGTTGTGGCAATTATGAAGAAAGCGGCTATAAACATTCACCTGCAGGTTATTGTGTGAGCATAGTCTTCAATTCAAATGGGTAAATACCAGGAGTGAGACTCTGTAAGAAACAGCTAAATAAATATGCTTTGAAACAATATTCTATTTAGCTTTGTAAGAAACTGCCAAACTGTCTTCCAGAGTGGCTGCACCATTTTGCATTCTCACCAGCAATGAATGAGACTTACTGTTGCTCAGCATCCTTGTCAGCATTTGGTGTTATCAGTTTTTTGGATTTTAGTCATTTTTTTTTTTTAAGATTTTATTTATTTATTTGAGATACAGCATGAGTGAGAGATAGAGCACGAGGTGGGGAGGGGGAGAGGGGCAGAGGAAGAGGGAGAAGCAGACTCCCTGCTAAGCAGGAAGCCCGACGTGGGGCTTGATCCCAGGAGACCCCGAGATCATGACCTGAGCCAAAGGCAGACACTTAACCAGCTGAGCCACCCAGGCGCCCCAATTTTAGTCATTCTAATAGGTGTACAGTACTGTCTCCTTGTTGTAATTTGTAGTTCTCTAAAGACATATGATGCTGAGCATCTTCTCTGGTGATTATTTTCCATTCGTACATTTTCTTTGGTGAAGCATCTGGTCAGATCTTTGGCCCTTTTTTTCAATTGGGTTGTTTGTTCTCTTACTGCTGATTAAGAGTTCTTTGTATATTTTGGATACAAGTCATTTATCAGATATTTGCAAATTATTTGCAAATATTTCCTTCCAGCCTATGACTTGCCCTTTCATTCTCTGAACAGTGTCTTTCACAGAATGAGAGTTTTTGGTTTTAATACAGTCTACACTATCATTTTTTTCCTTCATGGACAATGATCTTGGTGTGGTATATAAAACCCCACTGCCAAACCCAAGGTCACCTAGATTTTCTTCTGTGTTATCTTCTAGAAGTTTTACAATTTTGCATTTTACACTTAGGGCTACAATCCATTCTGAGTTAACATTTGTGAAAGGTCTAAGGTTTGTGTCTAGATTTTTGTCTTTTGGATACGGATGTCCAGTTGTGCCCAGCACCATTTGTTGGAGAAATTATCTTTTCCCCCTTTGAATTGCCTTTGCACCTTTGTCAAAAATCCGTTGACTATAGTTGAATGGGTATATTCCTGGCCTCTCTGTTCTGTTCCATTCATTTCTTTGTCTATTCTTTCCCCAATATTATGCTGTCCTGATTACTGTACGCCATTTTATTTTTATTTTTTATTTATTTTTAAAGATTTTATTTATTTATTTGACAGAGAGAGACACAGCGAGAGAGGGAACACAAGCAGGGGGAGTGGGAGAGGGAGAAGGAGCCCGATGCGGGGCTCGATCCCAGGACCCTGGGATCATGGCCTGAGCGGAAGGCAGACGCTTAATGACTGAACCACCCAGATGCCCCCACCATTTTATTTTAAATAGCTCTATTGAGGGATAATTTATATGCCATACAATTCACTAGTTTAAGTACAATTCAACAGCCTCGATTTTATTTTTATTTTGTGACACATGTAGGGTATTTGTACATAGGAAGGTCACAAGTTTTGTGCCCCTTGTCACAATGAACCCAGATTCCTTTTGGGTGTGTTGTAAACAGAGGGGCCATTTCTTCAGGCCCCCTGCTCTGAGCACACCCCTCACAACTTTTAATAAACCCAGAGCTGTGTAACCATCAACACAGTGCAGATGGAGAACATTCCCATCATCCCCAAATGATCCTTTCTGCCCCCAAAGAAGTCAATCCCTATTCCCACCCCCTGCTTCAGGCAACCACTAATTTGCTTTCTATTTCCATAGATTTACCTTCTCTGGACATTTCATAAACACAGAATCATAGAATATGTGGCCTTTTGTGTCTAGCTTCTTTCACTTAGCACAATGTTTTCAATGTGCATCCAAATTATAGCAGTACTCCATTTCTTTGGATTCCTGTATGGATAGACTGCATTTTATCTCCCCATTTGCCACTAATGGACGTTTGGATTGTTGCCACTTTTTGGCCACTCTTAATAATGCTGCCATGAACATGCATGCATAATTTTTTGTGTGGATATATATTTTTAATTCTCTTTTAATGGGTATATACTTAGAAGTGGAATTATTGGGTCAGATAATACATTTATTTTTAACTATTTAAGAAATACCAAGCTGTTTTCCAAAGTGGCAATACCATCTTACTATTCCCACCAGCAAATTACAGTGCAGGGGCGGGGGGGCAGGGGGTTGCAGTTTCTCCACATGCTGCCCAACACTCATTGCTGTCTGTTTTATCATAGCCATCCTAATGGGTGTGAAGTGCTTATCTCATGGTTTTGATGGGCGTTTCCATAATGACTAATGATATTGACCATCCTTTCATGTGCTTATTTGTTATCCATGTATCTTTTTTGGTGAACTGTCTATTAAAATCTTTTATCCATTTTTATTGGGTTGTTTGTTTTCTTATTACTGAGTTTTGAGAGTTCTTTATGTATTGTGAATACAAGTTTTCTATCAGATATGTGATTTGCTAATATTTTCTTTCAGCTATGAAGTTTTGTCATTCTCTTAACAGGTCTTTTGGAGATTAGAAATCTTGAATTTTGATGAAATCAAATTTATCAATATTTTCTCCTCTAAATTGTGCTTTGGGCTTCGTATCTAAGAAATCTTTGCCCAGCCTGAGGCTACAAAGGTTTTTTTCCTTATATGTTCTTGTAAAACTTTTATAGGGTTAGGTTTTACATCTAGGTCTATGATCCACTTGAAGATAATCTTTGTACATATTGCAAGGTAGAGACTGACGTTTACTTCTTTACAGATAGATAGCCAAGTATGCTGGTACCACTTATCAAAGATTTGCCTTTGCACTTTTGTGAAAAATCAAATGGGTACAATCTTTCCTGGACAGTCTGTGCTGTGCCAATGAGCCATTTGTCTATATTTATGCTGGTATCACCCTGTCTTGACTCCCATACCTTTATAAATCTTGGAAGTAGTGTTAGTGTTCCAATTGTGTTCTCTTTTATCAGTTTTCTTGGTTAATCTTAGTCTTTTACATATCCATATAAAATCTGCCTGTCAATATATATATTTTTAAGTTGGCTGGGATTTTGATTGAAATTATGTTGAATTTATAGATCAATTTGGGGAGAACTGGCATCTTAACCATATGAGTTTTCTGACCCATGATCACAACGTG